GTTTAAATTTCCTCTGGTATTCAAGGTATTTCACAGCCTGTTTCCCACCTTAACCATTTCGACTAGCTGTCGTTATATCCTCCCTGCCAGAACATGCCCTGTTTATCCCATACTTGCTGCTCCTCCAAACTGTAAATCTCCCCTTAGCCCATCCTTCAAAGTCAGTTTAACCCCACCTCAGGGCCCTCAGCCTTTTCTTTACCTCCCAGCTCTTTGCTGTTTGCTAATTGTTGCTGGACACTGTTAAGTGCTGTCCTGTGTTCAGCTGGTTAGACACACAGTGGTGGGAACTGCTTGGGAATGAGGGGTTGTTCCCAGCAGCTTACATGGTAATGTACCTGGGTATGTCTCAAGAAATCTGTGTTGAAGGAATTTGTCATCAGATCCTTGTTTCTGGGGACAGAAAGATCTCCTAGAGCCCATCTCATTCACTCTGCCTCATCTTGACATCCCAAGCTGATGGATTCTGCATCTTGACATCCCAAGCTGATGGCCACTCAGAGATAGGAAGTTGCCCCTTCCTGAGAAGACTCACTCCTTTACTGGACAGTTCAGATTGTTAGGCAAAGGCTGATCACTTCTGCCCAGTCACCCTAGTTTTGCCCACAGAATGGGAAAAGGCTAACTCTTTTCCACAGAAGGTCTTTTAGAGTCTGTGTTTCTCATATTTTCTTGATCTATAGATGTTAGAGAGACTTTTAATTTGATTTTCTTAATCTATAGATGTTACAGACTTCTAAATTTTTTTCCCAACCCCCTAGACTTTTAATTTTGAGAAACGGTCAAGTTAAATTTTGAACTGTTAGTTTTTGAAGGCCTGTGTGCATCACTACGCTGGGTACCATGTTCCTCTGGTCCTCACAGAGGTGTGTGCATGTGTTCTCTCCCACCCTCCTCTCTTTCCCTTCCTCTCTCTCTCACCCTGCACCCTGCTGTCCTGTCCCCTGGTACAAGTAGATACTCACACTTTGATGGATGGTCTGGTATTGTGGGTAGCATGAGGTAGCAGTACTCCCAAACATCTGTCAGCCCCATGTGTGCAAGGGCTGGTTTCTATTTGGCTTATGTATCTGTATGAAGCTAATGAAAAGAATCAAAGAATGAAAAAACCTCACCCTCCAAGGGTACCCTCAAAGGTCATGACATGAACATTCTGAGAATTTTACTCTCCTTCCCAGTCATCCCACTGGGAACACTTAGCACTGTGTTTTAGTCCATGAAGAGCATATGCCGCAAAGTGAGCCAGGAGACGTGGGTTTGGGTCCTGATGCAGCAACTAGAAACTCTGAGGCCCTAGACCCTTTGTTTGATGAGCTCCTGGAGCCAGCATCCATTGGTCCCTGCCATAACCACTGCTGTACTGTAGAGTCAGTGAGAAAGTGCTGCCAGGGCCCCCGTCCAGCGCTTATCACAGAGGGCTGCTTCTCCCCGAGGGCTGCTTCTCCCCTTTGTCTTGCTCTGTCATCCTTTCACCACCATTTTGGAGGGATGTAAAAAAACACTTTGTGGCTTCTGTGGGTAAAATTAGCTGACTGTGGGTATAGTAGCTAAAGCTGGTCGTGGGTGAATATTTGGGAACAAACTGTCAGTTTCTTGTGAATTCCTGTTGAGATCAAAGATGTTAAAAGAAAGTTCTAAAGCTAGGAAGGCTGAAAAGGCTGTAAATGGCAGTAAGTGACCATTCTGGCCACTGCTGGCTGCCAGTATAACAAAGTCTTTTGGGAGGGGTGGTCCTTCACACAGCAACCCTTCCACACAAATACTTTTCATGTGCATGCCTCTTGGTGGTTGCCCAAAAGGTTGAATTCTCTTTGTGCCTGTGTGTTTCAGCCTCTACCATTTTCTGCTTTCTTCCACCCATGGCAACCTCCATTAGCCATAGTCCATATCCAAGAAAAATTAATTTGGGGTTCGTAACTTGCAATGCCACCCAAGCAACCTCTTGCAAATAAACTTGAACTGAGCCATGTTTTATAGCAGTTGATCAGTTGAGGACCAGTGATGCCCTTCCCAAAGAAAAGGAGAATAGGAGATAGGAGTTGTTGGAGCTGAGGTCTCAGGGCAACCCATCCCTTTTGTTTAGTAGGAGTATGTGTGCTTTCTGTGTATTGGAAGTTAGGGACCCAACTCATTGGAATATGAGTTGACAGGGCCAGGAAGAGAAAGGTGTTGAACTTGCTTGGTGAACAGGCAGGACACTCCAAAGAGGAGCTGGACTGTGAAGGGCAGGCAGAATTTAGGAATTCTCCTTTCAGCCAGCAGCTCTTATGAAATAAGATCAAAGTGTACCCGCTGCAAGATGAAGTAATACACAATAAACTTTTCTCCAATACCTCTCCAATGAGATTGTCATTGATTGATTGATTTTGGATAGGATATTTTAAATTAACTACTAGGCCAGCCTTGCTTTGGACAAGGACTAGACAAAAGAAAACATCCACTCCAGGCCAGCTTCTTTCTCTGTTATTTCAAGTAGTGACTGGGCAGTTCCTTTCTGTGGAACAGTTCAAACTGATTACTCATTGTTTATTGTCTCACTTCTGTCCCCCTGGCCAGTGTCCTTGTCCTCTGCAGGCACTGGGCTAGATGGAGGCATTTTAGGCTAAAATCCTACAGTGAAGCAGATTCTTGTGGTGAGTGTTTCCCTTTCCCAGGCCACAGCTCGTGCTCATTCCTTCCCTGCTTCTCCTTCCTTCCTTGCTTGTGGTTGGAGCAGAGCTAGAGAAAGCAGGAGCCCCCATTCCCCATTCTTCTCTGCTTCTTCCTAGAGCCACCTCACACTTAGGTGTTTATTTTCACACATAGTTCCCACCTTGGTCACACTGACATGCTTGTTCTCACACTCTTCTGTGCTGGGAAAGCCCTGTCTGATACTCTAGGTTGTGGATTCCCTCCTTTCCACCCAGCCGAGTGTTAAATAGTTTCTGAGTGAACCTTCAGAATGCCTGCTAGTTACTGTAATTGGCCCCAAACTGCTGTGCAGTGACCAACAGAGAAAGAAGCCTCTTGTGAACAACCTCAGCCTCAGATCTGCTGCAGTAAACAACTGACATAACAGAAGCAGCAATGATCCTTCATTAAATGTCTTTCAGTTGAGAGGGAAGAGAAGGGCCCCCAGGATAATTGACTTTCCAGCAGGAATTACTGGCTCAGATAAAAGCATTGGGCATTAGGGCAGGCTACTGCAGCCTTTGAAAGGGGACTGTAACTCTGTCTGGTTTTGCTGATCTGACAGGCATAGTTCATCTTGATTATTCATTGTCTAGTTGCCACCAGATGACACTAGATTTCTAGTGACTGCAATTATGAGATGGGGTTGAAGCTTTAAAAACCACTTTGGTTTGACTGTGGGTCTCCAGGGGTGAAGGCATCATAGCACAGGAAGGGTTCCAACAGTGCCTGTCTGGGAACCTGATGAGCACACTGTCCAGCAGATTTAGTGAGCACTTCCTTACGTGAGTCTTTTACTAGATAAGCAGGGAGACACTGGTGTGGCCTGTTTTGTTTCAGCCGACATTGTCATTTTTCTGAGACTTATGCACTGTCTGCTGAATTGCTGCTATCAGGAAACAGGTCTGCATCTCAAAATTCAAATTGACCAGGAAAGTGAGGTACAGTCCCGAAATATAACTTAACAGTGCCTCCTGGCAAGCTTGATTAAAGGAAGATGTGGACAGAATGGAATTCTTTTTTTTTTTTTTTTTTTTGACAGAATGGAATTCTACCAGGCTTTCACTTTATATGGCACATTTTAAAAATTAATTTATTCTTACAATACTGGGGATTAAACCCAGGCCCTTCACACTGAGCTATATCCCTAGCCTTTTTTTAGTTTTCTGTTTTGAGACAGGGTCTGTCTGAGTCACTAAATTGCCTGGGCCCAAGCTTGTGGTCCTCCTGTCTCAGCCTCTCACAATGCTGGGATTATAAGGGTATATGCTACCACATCCAATTTCAACATGGTTTTAGAGCAGGATCCCTATACAGTCCAAAGAATAGTTCCCTAAGAAACCCCTAGTTTCTCCCAGCCTTAGCTGTGTCTTTCCCTACCATTTACACACCCCAGCTAGCTGGAGGACATGGGTGACAAGCTCAGAGCTTCCATTTGCATCCACTGGACCCTTGTAGGGGTCAGGGGCATGCAACAGAGTTACAATGTGAGAGTCCTTGCCCCACCAGCTCTCCTGCATGGTATATGCATTTCTATGCTTTGTGAAGTGGTATTTAGTTGGCTCAGCTAACCTGTTAATTATGTGCCAGGCAAGGAGCTCTACTGATGGTAGGGATGACAAAGTGTTCCATTAAATTCTAAGCTAACAAGATTAAATAGCAAAGAGACGTGTTTGTCCTTCTCCCTTGTTCAGTGAACGGTGTTGGTTTAACCTAATCAATTAAATCAGCCATAGATTTTCATTATTTCTTTAATGAAAATGAACTGTTGCTCTAGAGTATTGGGTCTGTCCCTTGGGACTAGGCAGTCATGGATGTGGTAGTCCTCATATCAGTAAGGCCTTCTCTTCACTAGACTTAGGGCTTCTAGTGACAAGACAAGAGTGTTTTTTGGCAGAGATAGTGAAATTTCAGCATCTTTGCCTGCTGCCTTTGGCCTTTATCCCTACTCAAAGCAGCATGCAGAAAACTAGGTGTAGCATCTTCACATCCATAGCACAGTACAGCTCAAAGCAATGGCCTCTGAATATGAGCTGAGAGTGAGAGGATCTCAGGACACTAGGCCTGGGCTCCTTCTTGCAGCATTGAGTATGAGTAACACTTGCCCATCCTTTAGGAAATAGAGGTGGTTCTTCTGTCTGACTCCCCCTTATTTTGGAATCATAACTGAAAGGGGAAAGAAAATTCATTGGGAGAGGTTAGGAATAGTCACCTAACAGTCTCTCTCAGTGTGAATTCCAAGGGTCATCATAGCCTTTAGATGATTGCCCTGGCTTCTGCTCATTCTCTTCATTATTCCCCTTTTAACCTTTTTTCTTGTTCCTCTGCAGAATGGTGGTTTGGCCTGGAATGATGATGCCGATGGAGGCCGGGGAAGAGAGATCTCCCGAGATTTTGCCAAGGTCTGTCATAGGTTCTTTGGATGATGATGGGGCAGTTCTTCAGTGGGTTGTCCTTATTCTTATGGCTGTCGTATCTCAGGTGTAAGACATTCTGTAAAGCCAGAGTGGAATGTTTCATTGTGTTTTCTCCTTGGGGCGGGGATTACAGCTATATGAACTAGACGGTGATCCTGAAAGGAAAGAGTTCCTGGATGACCTCTTCGTCTTTATGCAGAAGAGGGGTGAGTGTGCTCTCCTTCTCCTTATTTATTGAATACCTGCTATGTCCCAGTATTGCTATCCATACTTAGGATGAGGGGCATTTACTGCTGATTGATATTTAGGATTTATCTTAATAATTGACAGCCATACCAAAGAGGAAAAGAACATTTTGGCAAAAAATGAATGAGTGGACTGATACCTCCTTTTGACCTTGATGTATCTTTGTGTTTCTTCTGATTAACTGGTATCTGGAATCATTTCATGTTCAAATATTTTTTAGCCTTGTAACTGTATTGGGCTCCACTTAAAGTAGTATGTGGGGCTGATGTTGGTATGTCTAGTTTCATAGAAACTGAGAAAGTAGGTGAAAGAAAAGACCCTAGGTGTATTTTGGAGTCTGAAATGATTCCATAGAGAAGAAAGGTCATTTTTTCTTTTTATCCATTGGCTTTTTGCTTTTTGCATCCACTAGCTTGGCTGAAACATTCGTGCAGTTTAACTGTAGAGTGTAGGGCATCTGCTTTGTAATTCTCCCTTCTGATTCTCTGCCCCCCTCTCCTTCTGCTCCCCTCACTGCCGCCTGTGGCAATCACCACCCTAAATCCTGGTGTGACTGAGTATAGAGCTCAGGGACACAACTTCCAGGCTTGATATCCTGCCCTGTGGGTTTCCCGCCATCCCCAGCTTGTTTAGAAGGTCCTCAGTTGTCCAATCCATAGCTCCACCTTTATCCCCCTCAAGACACAGTGGAGGGAGTGCTACTTCTCCTTATTGATGCCTGATCATACTTCCCCTGGAGTCTATGTCAGTGACTTTATCAAGACCTGGAAATGAAATTGTCCCTGTCCTAGGCTAAGCTATAATGGCATCCCTGGTAGGTAAACGTTCTGAGTATTCTTTGGTTTGCTTGGTGCCTTGATCTGTCCCTCATTCCCTCCATACTCCCCTTTTTTCTCCCCCCCTTACCTTTCAAAGCCTATTGCCTTCTTGGTAGCAGGGCTATAGTAACAGAAAGACAATGGAAAGTTCTGAGTCTGTGTTTCCTGTCTCTAGGCCTATCAAAGCACTTTCAGTAGGCCTAATTAGTTTACTCCACCAACAGTTATCAGCACAGAGCTAAAAAACAAGAATATAACCCTGAAAGATAATCTGACTGGCAGCAAGGAAAACTCCCTGTTGCCTTGAGAGAGAGAGAAATCCACTTAATACTTTGGTCTCCCCTTCCAATTACCTTTTAATTATTTACAAGCTGCACAAGCCCAGCTGGTGCAAACCTAGGCGCTGATCCTGTCTCAGAGGGGCTGCTATAGCAATATAGATTTTAATCAGCATTGCAGCATCCCTGCTTTATTTTCCACTTTATTGTTTTTCACCCTTCCCAGAAGGACTGTTAAAGGAAAATGGAAGTTGGGTCAGCCTAGCCAAGGGTGATAGTGTTTACTGTTAGATGTCCCCATTGGACAGGAGCTCCTCAAGGACAGCCGCTCTGTCATGCCTCTATGCCCCTAGTGCTGACAGCCCCAGGCTGGGCGGAGCTCAGGGCATGTTTGCTGTATGAGCAGTTTGGTTTTCCTGATTCAGCCTGCTGAGCAGGGGGTGTTGCCTTGAGCTATTGGATATGTATGCCTCTTTTCCATAGCTTCCCTGTAATGGGAGGCAGAAGCCGAGAACAGTCTTGCTGCTCCTGTGTCTATGCTGGGGTAGCCTCATTGCCATTTCCTATATTTTTTGTGAGCCCAAAGCAGGAGTAAGTGATTCTCTTTGGTAAGTCAGTTTGTGGCTACCCAGGTCCTGCCTTCAGCACTTTAGTCAGGTGTTTCACTGATCACTGGCATTGCTCCAGGTGGAAAGCAGATCAGTCTGCTGCTTGCTGATGTCTCACTGCCGACCCTAGAGACCAGAGTCCCTGTTCTTGTGGGCAGTCTTGTGTGCTGTAAGGTGTTCATAGTATCCATGGCCCATTCCCATGAGATGTCAAATAGCAGCTCCCAGTCCTGACAACCAGAAATGTCACTGATTATTAGAAGTGGCCCCTAGTGAGAACCACTGCTATAGGATGATAGTAAAGAGTAAAGACAAAATTTCTGTTGTAGAAAAAGTATCTTTATAGAAATCTTCCTTTCACATACCTGAAGGTGGCCCTAAATCAGGCATTAATCTCAACCCCACTTGCCTGAGTATCAGAAGAGTGGGGTACTAGCAGCCCAAACTGAGCTGGGCTACACTGTTGCAGATTCAGAGCCCCCATGACCTCCTCTTTCCTCTCTTTCATAGTCAAGATAAAAGGATAATCAGAAGAGCTGAAAGTAGGCTACACTTTTAACTGTATGGAGGTTGCTGGCTTTGCTCTTCATAGAATACTGAGGCCAAGGGCCCTAGATGGATGTGACTCACTCCTCCCTCCCTGAGTAGAGTGGCGAGTGCACTTGGGCAGATCTTTTTAGCTGGGACCAAGGAGAAACCTTGTAGACCTCAACAGCCAGACAGCAGGCCAATCCTAGAGCTGATGTGGAGGATAAGTGATAGATTTGCAGCTTGAATTTGACATGCTGGGGGACAGGTCTGGATGTGAGTGCAGCCACACAACTGAACATGAGGCCACCACAGAGGGAGACAGGTTCCAGTGGAGATGACTGCAGCTGCAGGTGATAAAAACAGCTATCTCATAGAAGGCACAGGCTATGACTGCCACTTTACTTTTTTGCCTATTGACACAGTTGGACAAATTGACCACAGCAGATGGCCCTTTCAGCTCTTGGTCCTTGTGTCTAGATCGCATCTCTGGCACCCTGAGCCCTCCCTGACCAGTGTAGCAGCCCACCAGTAGAGGAGCCTGGGGGTGTGGGTGGGCTGAGGCAGCAAGGGCTCTTGCTCATTGTCTCCTGTGGGCCTTGGAAGATAGGAGACCTGTGAGGCAGAGCCAGGTCACCTTCACGTCCATGGTGTTGAGCAAATCCTTCCCCTCTGGGCCACACTTTCTTATCTCTAAATCAAGACTGTTCACTTCCAGGGAAACCTGGAAGTGTCTGTGTTGTATATTTTGTGTCTGTGATTATTCTGTTGTATTCCCCTGGGGAACAGAAACAAAGGAAGCAAAGCCCCTTTAAAGGATTTTCTGTCAGATTGTGTGTAGACTGTATCAAGAATCTCTTAATACCAAATGTTTCTTTCCTTTCTTTGCTAAATAATGGATTTCCTCTTTTGCTAACTGAAGCCAAAAGGAATTGTACAAGTTGCTCCAGATTCCACCCCCCCCCCCCAGAATATCACTCTAGAAAGTGTGGTTAGATTGCAGAACTCTGTGTGCCCCAAGGGACTAATTTGTAAGCCTGATAAGCAAAAGCTGTGTATAAACAATTCCATTTTTCCTTTATTGCTAAGGAAGAAAAGCTTGTTGTCTTTCCATAGGAGATAACAGAAGAGTGATCTGGCCAGGATGATAATGATGATGATGACAATTTTACAGTTACTTTTACTATTAACTCATATAGAACTGTATAACCCATCATCTGCCCAAGCTCCAGGTGTGTGCGGTAGAGAGGGCAAAGGCTACCACCTTTAGTAATGAAGAGTCAATCTGGGGTTAAGGGACTCACCTAGGGCCAGAGATCTTCTAACTCACATGCTAGCACTCTTTCCTTTTCCTTTGCACAGCCTTTGAGACACTGGTTCTTTGCTACTGCTTTTAGAGCAGCAGGCAAGCGTTGTCTGTCCTCCATTCTGAACCCCAGCGAGTGAGTGCTGGGCACCTCCACTAGCCATTGTCCAGCAGAAGGTGGAACAGCATCTAGATGATTGCTGCAAGAGGTATGACAGCTCACAATGGCAAGGAGGCTGCCGCTTGTCAAGGCATGATGGGGTGGGGAACACAGGAGACACACTTAGAAGTGGCACCAGCAAGACTGTTCTTTCCTACCCTTGTCCCTGTGGCTGTGCCTGGCTGAGAAACTGCCTGGTCACGCGGAAGACAAGTTTTGTCAAGACCTCATGTGTAGAGCAGCCCTCTCGCCCCTAGTTCTGGTCAAGGCTGCACACTGACCTTGGTTTTCCCCAATGGATTGTTAGATCTGTTTTTGATGTGTATTTACAAAGAATTTACTGTGGGAAAGGGTTGGGCCTGCCTCTGAGTGCAGCTGAGTGTTTTTCCTTCTGTTGTGTGCTTATCTATCCATCTTTGGCAAGGAAATGTCCATGACATATATTGCTTGGCTTTTGATGGAGGCAGTTTCTTAGGTATTCTTTGTATCTTACAATAAGTGATCTGTACCCTGGACACTCTTCCTGGTAGACTAAAATTGTTGTCTTTGTCAGATGAGATCATTTTGGAGGCTTCATTTTTAACTTGAAACCCAAATGAAAGTGTAAAATGCAAATCTTTCTAAGTCTCAGTTAACATTTTGTCTGATACCGGGTCTTTTTCTCTCTAGAGGTGATTTTGCCACTATTGATAAATATATTCATTTTTCTTCTTTCCATCTTAAATAGTTATTTAGTACTCTATAAGTACCCAATAATGGGACAAGAACTTGGTCTTTGAAAGGCACAATTAATTTGAATGACCCAGTTTGTCATTAAATTCATCCTTTTCCCCTTCAAAGTCTTACTTTGTACTCATAGCGCTGGTAAAATTGAGTTATTAGATGGTTTTGCTTCCTTTGTTCCAGAAGCCAATCTACAGAAAGGGTTTGGCCCACTTACTCTATGGGGAAACCCAAGGGATCTGAGAGCCTCATGGCATACGTGACAACAGCAGCACAGATAGCTGCATGTGCCCAGACAGTCGGCCTCTTCTGGCCACCTTCCATCCCTGCCCTGGCCATGCCCTTGAGGGCCGGTGATGCACCAGCAGGCAGAGCAGAGGTGCCAACAGCCCACCTCCCTCAGCTCCTTGGCCAGCTTTGAACACAGGTTTAAGCAATGGTGACGTGGTCAGAGCAATGATTTCATCATAAGCCATAGCAGAATACATTACACAGACTATTGAACTTCATCTAAATTCATCCAAGCTAGAGTATATGCC